ACGAAGATTTTTCGAGGGTGTGTCGCGCGACTGGCACATCGGGAGGGATGATCGCTGAACGTTCTACGATTTTCCACGGACACGGGGATGCCCGGCCGCCATGAAATATTTATGGCGGGAGCGCGCCGCGTTGTACAGCCACGATGAAAAGAATACATTCGCCGCCGATTCAATTTGTCAACGCGTCGTTAATTACGTTATTATACGATCCTCTTAGTTTCTGAAAAGCGTCTGCGTCATCAATAACCCATAAATACTCGTCTCGCTTCGTTGTCTCCGCGATGAAAGAAGCTTTGGCCAGGATTATCCGACGATTATGATTTTTTTTTTCTATTTTTTTCGTGATAAACGATAATAGAACACTGCAGACCGATCATTTCTCAATCACGCAGAAGATTGCACGATTCGTACATTTCTATTTTTGTTGCGTCTACGATCGCTTTCTGAAATTATTATTATTATTGCGATGCAAATATTGTGATGTCGAAAGTTCTTGCAAATAAGCTGCAGGAATTTACGATACAAAAATCTACGAGACTGAAGATTTTGTCGCAACAGAATCGTTAAATAAGTGATTGGAGCTAATTTTACTTTTTAAAATTATTTTAATGAAAATAAATCTCGTACGAAGGCAATCGATTGCAGATACTCAAATGCTTATATCGGTTATAACTTCAATTGACGATTTAATCGCCCATCATTTGTAACTGTAATTGAAATAAATCTGCCATTTTAACTTGACTGAAAAATAGAAAATCGCTCATGAATTTAAAGCACTATTATTTCCATCGTTATATTCATTTCAAAGTTATTTATTCTAATTATTTATTTATTTAAATTAAAATAAATAACCATAAATTTAAAAAAATATATTTCGAAGAATCCATACTGCAGCCATAACGTTAAAATTCGAAAATTCGATTCTGCAACAGAGATCGGTCGGTAAAATAGGGAATATCAATCGATTCCGAAGGTTTCAGATGTGTTCTGTTATCGTCGATCGTTGGCGATTCCTCGTGATTCGTAATCGATAGAATCGAGAGGGATGGGAAAAGCTGGAAAAAGCTTGATCGCAAATTTATTCGTCGGACAGAGTGAGGGCTCTGTGACTTGGCCAGCGGACACGAGAAGGCGGGAAGAGACCGAGATTTATGGCACCGGATGCGCGAATACGGTGGAACTTCCTTGTATCCGGTTTGGCGAAAACTTTTCTCCGCGTACGCCTGTTCCTCTCCTCCCTTTTTTTCTTACTCCCCCGAATTTCTATCGGGATCAGCAAAAAGTTCGATAACGAGTAAACGTTATGGTCTCTGATACCGTGATGAGAAAAGTCGCTGTTTCGTTGAAGGAGAATCACGTGTGATTAGCGAACAGTTGATCTCGCTATGTTCTCTTTTCTTTTCTTCACTTTTTTATTTTTTACACGCAGTGCGGGAAATATTAGTGTAGCAGCGAACTTGTATTAGAGAATATTATATATATTTATGTAATTTCCAGATGCAGAATTTTTTCTATTAAAAAATGAAAGAAAATACTTTTTATATTGGATTGGTAACTACAGAGTAGAACTTCGTTTACACGTACTTGTGCAAAATTTTGTTGTAAAATGTCGTTTTTTTAAAATTTGACTTTATCACTAATACAAGCCATTAAATTTTCTTGTTAATGTAACTGTATCGTTCGATGTAATTATGAAATTATTCAAAATATTCGTGTGACTTAAATTTGAGCGACTTAAAAATTCCTAGAAATGTGTATTTAACGTTTAAGGAATGTTAAAGACATTTTTCATTCTATCTAAACAATTTTTTCACTCATAAATAATTCTTAAAAAAATTTATGAACCAAGAGATTTTGACAGCTTCACTTTGAAGTCTAAAATTGACAATTTTTACAGAATATTAAAATGAAAAGAATCGTTGGAAAGCTATAACTATTGGACGATACGAAATTTATAATATATAGACTAATTCAAAGGCTTAGTTAATAAAAAGATATATTTTGGAGAGTAACCAAAATTATTCAAATTACTTACAATTCACGCATAAATTTTAACGTAGAAATATTTGAAGAATGAAAACTATCTGCAATTTTATCACACTGTTAAAAGAAACACAACTTAACACTTATATACCACTTTATATCAAATAGATCTCATTTAATTTCTGTCATAAAATCACACGTATCTGCATAAATATCTGTAGTCCAAGTACTACCATATTTGTATCGTGGCCTGAAAAAGACGCCGGGACAAAGATCAAACGTTTCCCTTTCCTTCGCTCTGGGAAAACTCCGAGGAAAGAAGCAACGACTTTTAAAACGTAATTTAAAACGGCGTTGCTTGTCGCTTTTGTGGAAATAATCAAGCACTCTCGATGCTCCGGTGTCCCAGGTGATTCGATCGGTTCCTCGGATCGTGGAACTTTTTAAACCGGATGGCGTCCGGTTTACAGGGGAGAGTCGCGAAAAGGAATTTTCCCAAGGCAAGGGAAAAGCGGCGCGATCGGCCGGGAGGTTAAATTAGATTTCGTACTTCCGAGACACTACAAGAACCTTAAAAGAGGAGGTAAGCGTGGACAAACGTCCTCCATTTTCCAAAGAACTCCACGAGTTTCTTCGTTTCTCCTCCAACCCCCGACCGTTTCGCCTACCCGAAGAAAGGATCTTTTAAGGGTGTCTTTAAATTTTCTTGCAACGCGCTCTGCTCACTGCGGTTATTGGAACAGATACAGTATTCAAATAGCTTTGATCGTTTCTCCCCCTCGTGTCCACCATATTTGCTCGTTGAGTTTACTGGTTGGATTGTTCATCAATTAACATTTTCAACATTCTTTTGTCTTCTCAAGGAAAGTGGAACGCGTGAGTGAAAAAAAGGGTTTACTGACTAATCTCGGAAGAAGCTGGAAGGAGTTGAAAATTAATCTGTGAACAATATGTCTGTGTATCATAATGATAAAATATCTACGTGTGGACACATAAAGCACTGAAATGTAATGTAATTTTTGTAGGGAAAAATCGTGAGAATAATCAAAGCAGTTTTATAGTATATAGTATATTGTAAACTGCTCTATTATATTATAATTTTATAGCACAGTATATTATAAACGGGGGCATCAGAAAATCATTATTAATGAAATACAAATACACAAATTCAAGATATAAAAGTTATTTATATTATAGTGTAGCTATTTATATTTATATTATAGTGTAAAAGACATTTATATTAACAACAAATTAGAGTAACAATAAATTAAATACTGTGTACATATCTATTCGTTAAGGAATGATTTAATTAGCAAGAAACAACATATAATAATACAACACTGAAGTTAAGAAAGCTTTTCTATACGTTACGTAATCTGAATTCAACGTCCAAAGGCTACACATTTTACGAAATTTGCCTTTGGAAATTTGTATGAATAAAAAATCAATTTCGAGCACGAATCTCAGTAGACTACACATTTATTAATATACAAGTGAAAAAAATGTAAAGGATGCATCATGAAATGCAAAAATACTTCAAATATTCAGAAATATTATAAATACGTAATAATATTTAATTCTTTGCTACTGAGACATCATTTTTGAGATGTAAATGGAATGAAATCTACGAGACTCTTGAATTTTCAGTTAATTTATCAGACATTATGCAGTTTTATATTTTGATAAAAATAACCAATGTGTCAAATAAATATAATAAGGAGTATTATAGTTTGAATATTTTATTGTATGTTTAAATCATTAATATAAATGCATAAAAATCGACAGTCTTACTGATAATTCTTTCTACTGATTTGCGTTATTCCAAAGAATTTAAAAGAACTTTAAAGAGCAAAACTGCATATAATGCACATAATATGTAAAATATACAAAATGTTCAATGTGTAGAGTTTCCTATAACATTTACTACATAAAACAATTTTCTATCGTGATTCTATTTTCATTACTGCACTTTAAAGAACACGAATCTGTATAAAAAAACGTGCTATAGATTTTCTCAATAATTATCATTTCATTATTCATTGTTTCATAATTACAACAATAATTTCATTGACAATATATTTTTGGATTAACATGAAACTTGTTTTTATAAAGAGAATATTATACATAAAAAGTTAAAGTCTCCAAGACTCTTAATTATAAAAAAAAATTAATATAAACATCTGTTATAGATCCCGTTTTGTAAAAATTTAAATATTTACAATTCGTACACTCGTCAGCCAGAGTGAATTTAGCGAAAGAACTAAAAACTTACCCCAACGAAACAATGTTCATATTGCGAGTGAAGGTTCCTTCACCTTGAAAATCTATTAACCACGAACGTATTACCTCGTGAACGAGGCTCTTCGTGGTTTGCAGTCGACCGAAAATGTCGAGGGGATCGCGCCCTCGAAACGTAGCCGATGCGAGTGTCGATTTCTCGTTCGCTCGTGGGACCGGCGTTCACTTGGCAGTCCGCGCGAAGAAAGGGTGCGCTCGCCAAGAAAATTTTAAGGACTCGACTTCCGAAACACTGGACACGTTATTGTGTCCATGGCAAGGGCCTTCCCGTAGAGGAAGGGAATGAAACAGCGAAACGTGCGACCCACGGCTTTTGACTTCTCGCCCCGACGTCGCTGACGAACCAAACGGAAACGAGTACCGCGCTACGAGTTCTGGAAATAAGTAGCGCGCAAGTGCAGCGCAAATATACATTCGACTGCTCACCGGAGCGTTCTAAATGAAGAGTTATAAAATGCAGAGTACCGCATCGATATCCCACGGGAATATTGAATTTATTTCGAGTCGACGCGTCAAATTAATATTAATTGTCCGCACTTTCCTTCTCTTGCGAAAGAACGAAATTGAGGAACTGAACATTTTAGATACTTGTACAAATCTCGAGAAATATATATTGTTTTTTTTTTCATCTTACAACAGTTCTCGTATAATATTTACTGGAAAAGTAGAATCTTTTTAAAAGATAATAATTTTATGGAAATCGTGCGCTTTTGAATAAAAATTTAAAATCATTTGTATTTTTTTTTTTTTTTTTATTTCCTCCAGTAAATATTACGTGAGAAATTTATTTCTTTGGTTCAAATCTTTTGTTATGTTGAGAAGAGTGTCACTCAGAATGTGTTTCTACGTACAAATAATTCAAATATATATATATATATATATATATATATATAAATACGAATACTTATTACGCGTTCATTTTGTCCATTTTCCTTGATATTTATATAAACAATATGAATATTTGTTTATCTGATATCATTGAGAATAAATGTGTCAAAACAATATTGTTTAACAAATATTATTATCCAGTATTTTCGAGTCGAAATTGTACGAATACTTTCTCTCGACCCACGTCGAGAGAATCAACCTTCGACTTCTCCCGCGGCGGCGGCGGCGGCGCGGAGTCAATCACCACCCCTTAAGTTTATCCGTCCGTTCGATTACGCTGAGCGGCGGAAAGCTGAGCCGGAAAATGGGACTTCGATAATCGATCCCCGGTACACATTGGCTCGCTGTTAACCCCTTGATATTTAACCTCGTAATTAGCGCGATGTCAGCCGACGCAGGGTTCATTCCCAAGCGTCGTCGGCGCGTCTAGCCGCGAGCGATCTCGTGTTTTACGTCGAGCGAAAAACACACGCACACACACACATACAGAGAGAATCCCTCCCTCGATTCATCGTGGCGCGAGAAAGTATTCGAGGGTGGGTGGAGGTGGAGGAGGAGGTGGCGCGTTATGAGAGAGAGACGAACCGGTTCGCAGCCTCTGCAACCCCTCCGCTGGGGGTTTCCGCGGCAGCGTGATTTTCTGATTAGCAGCGGGTCGACTGGTTGCGGTTAACCGTTGTTAGGTTACCGCTCGATTGGTATGCATGGGCTGGGACTCGTGCCCACGGTACAGCCCCTGAACCCAACTAACCTTCTCTCTCTCCTACGCCACCGACTAACGGCTACCACCGACCGTGCTATACTTTCTCACCTCCTCGGATCGGTTCGGTTCGGTTCCGTTCTCTGATTTTGGTCGACGCTGCACTGGGACTTTTCGTGCCCAAAATTTCCACCGAATTTCGATATCCCACCGAGGGTACAAATAGTTGGACGTTGGCTCGTGTAGAGGAGAATTATTGGCGCATATTGGATGGTGCGTGTGTGCCGATGCACGTAACTGTTGTCAGCAAAAATACCCAGGCTCTGGTGTTCGTGTAGTTATCCAGGCCAGGGACTGAATAAATTAAAGCGTCGAATTTTCATTGTGGGTATATCGTTACTCATCATCTCGAGTGTTTTACGATATTATTCGATAAAATAAATATCGCAAGAGGAAAAGGAATGATAGCAAATGTACGTGTTATAATAGGACGAAAGTTTGAGGTGATATATATTTGATGGGAAGTATCTTTTTAAACTATTTAGAAAATACGAACATAATCGTAATTTCGTTGATCTTATTGCCCGGTTGTCTAGTAACCGATTGCACGAGAGATATTTAAATATTATGTACCCCATCAATTTATGTTTTTAAAATAAATATTTTTGCAATTGTAAATATGTAATATTCTCATTCGTTTCACGAATTCTGTGAACAATGCAAAAATGTTTAGAACACTTCAGGAAATGGAACATTTATTTTTAATTTAAATGTTTGTGTAACATGTGAAACGTATTTTCTAAAATTTAACTGCTTGTTCGAAATGTCGGCAAGAATCTGTCTTTTTTTTAAGTAAAAATATTAAGCATCTTTGATTTATAATCGGAAGGGTACGCTAAAAATTATTCGATTTCAAAATAAAAAAGAACAAGACATTTTTAATTTAATTACACAAAACATTGACACTAAAATTAGAAAATCTAGTATGTTTGAATAAAAAAGATGATAGTATAGTACTTAATATATTATATTGTTCTATATAGAAATTGAAATAAAGAATTATTATTGAAACACTCTTTTTCATTAATTCAAATTTAAAACTACGATATGTTTGTAAAATTAATATTTAAAGGACTAAAATATGATATATGACATAGGTATATCTTCTTTCGATAACTTTTTATCAAAAGGAAATTTTATTAATGGAAAACTAGCGTCCAGAATCGATTTTTTTATCATTATAGCTACACCATCTTATATCGAAACTAAAATCGTTATAACATTCTTTACTAACAATAACCTTCATTCAATACATTACAACAATACGATATTAGCATTACGGTTTTATAAAATGTAATATTTTAAAATAAAATTTTAACACTAATCAAAATTATCAATTCATAATTTTTCTCTATTTTTAGACATTTGAACAATTTCTCAATAAAAACTTATATCCTTTACTGTGTCATAAACTTGTCCTATTCCTTCTATTCTAATTACTCCTAGTATGATATGAAAATTTATATTTCAATCGTTGATAGTTCTAACGTTGAAATACGTTTAACCCTTCGGTATCCAAAGGAAAAAACAATTCCAAAGGAAGACGTGCGCGCGAATCGTGAGAAATTACGATTTACGTCGAATCGTTTGTGACAAGTCGTGGCCATTTTTCAGCGGTTGACTCCGCTTTGACACCACGCCACTCGTCGACCCTCGTCGGCGTGTAACGCGCGTTACAAGAGGGAGGCAGAGGTTTATGTAACGACTACCCCCGTCGATACACCGTATCGAGCATAGGCGGGACGAGGATCGAACGGTTAGGGCACCAAGGGTACGCTCGAGACAGAAAGAGAGAAGACGAGCCGCGATAGCTCGTATGAATACGTAGCAAGGAGCTGGAGTGATCGGAGGGGGTTACAATTTCCCATGGATAATGGCACTTTGATTACCCCGTGACGCCGTGCGTCCTGTCAAGTGGCACGCCACCCATAAATGGCCAACGTGGAAAAAAAAGGAGCGAGAAACCGTCAACTCCTCGTCTGTGTACAGGGTGCATTTTCGAACTGATTCTATCCTTCTATCCAGAATGAAAACAGAACATTTGTTTATTTACTTATTTATGGATCGAGGAACTCTTTTTTCGTAAATAACAAGTAAACATGTAACCACAGTAATCACCAGCTTGCAAGTAAATTGCAAAAATATTTAAACTATTGTTTAATGAACGATGCAATAAATCTGTGTCTAAATTCCATTCATATTAGAAATATAAATATGTATGTTAAAAAAATGTAGTGTAATGTGTAAATATACCTACATTATAAAAGTAAAAATATATCTATAATATAATTTGAATGTATGAGTTCAAAAATGTGCATATTATAATCGTTAAATTACGAATTTTTGCAAATACAAGTGTTACATTTTTAATATAATAATTGTACCTACTATAATTTTATAAATGTAATATAAAAAAATAGCACCTTGGTAGAAAATTATTTTACTTATTATTACATGTTATAAAAAGAGTTATATTTTGGATATTTTAAATATTTCTTTGCATTTTATGCAATTTTACAATTTAAAATTTCTCCTATAAATATCTATACCAAAATCTATATTCAAATAATCACGTATTAGTAAGTGAAACTGTTTAAACGTAATATGTACAACAGATGAAAAATATCAAGCATTACTATGATAATGATCATAAACAATGCATGATTCTTGCATAAAGAACATCTATCTAATTCAATCTAATATAATAATCAAAAATTAATTATTTCAGGTGGATTAAATCTCATATTTCTGTTACTCCAATTAAAATACTGTTTGACGATGATCGATTTGATTTTTAAAATCATACAATAAATATATACTATCTACATTTGTTTCAAAATTAAAAAAAACGAAACAATACTTCGTACAACGAAGAGCGTTAATCGTTAAGAAATTTTATTACCGATACAAAATACTGAACATTGAAAATAAAAGATATCTTAAGACTTCCGAGCGACAGTATATATATAATTGAAAACAAAATCAAATTTCTACACTCGCAACTATATTGTAAAAAACGATACTCAAATAACAGACGAGGCATAAAACATCGACGATCAAGAAATGTTAGATTCTCAGAGTGTTATGAATGTCATTTTATTAAAAAAGAAGAAGAAGAAGAAAAATAAAACAGTGCGAACACGTAAAGAAAGAAAAATTACTCGTTAGTTCATTAGCATAGGGAATTGCGTCGCGAACATTGTGCCATTTGGAATTTTCATCGCGTGGCGATTACTTCCTTCCGTTTAATTTATTCTCTATTCACATGCGATTTCAAGGAATCAACACGTAACTCGAACGCATAATTTTTCTGTCTGAAACGTCGACGATCCGAGATACCGCGCGAATGCGTCTGCTCGTTACGATATTTCCGGGTCACCCGGTGCATACATCATCCATGAAACTCGTACCCTGTACTCGACCGTTAAATACACTATCGATGAAAGATTTTCATTTCGCGGACGGCTCGAGTGGCACCGCTCGCTCGAACAGTCCTCGAACATGCAACTGGTAGCGAGCGATTTGGTGGCGCGGCTCGAGTGCGTCTTTTGTCGGGGAAGGCTTCACGACGAAGAGCCAACGAAACGACCATTGAAAAGTCGCCACTTGGAAATCCTCTGGGCCCCGGAGCACGCAGAAGGCTGTTGTATTGTAGCTATGAGAACGTAGCCACGTCAAATTCGATTAAATGTTTCGCGGTCAGTCGGATTGAAACTTCGGGGCTTTTCAATGCCTGATCTGAGTATTTCTTTTTTTTGCATAATAATTTATTAATTAGCAGGAATAATATCGGTGAACTAATAATGTTGGCAAATTGCAGGTTATTATATATTTTATATTATATCTATATTATATATTCTATATATTCTATATTATATTATATTATATTATTCTATATTATATTATATTCTATACTATACTAATAATAATGTGAATTAATAATGTTGGCAAATTACAGGTTACTATATATTTTATATTATATCTATATTATATATTCTATATTATATTATATTCTACATTATACTATATATTCTATATTATATTATATTCTACATTATACTATATATTCTATATTATATTATATTCTATACTATATTATATATTCTATATTATATTATATTCTATATTATACTATATATTCTATATTATATTATATTCTATACTATACTATATATTCTATATTATATTATATTCTATACTATACTAATAATAATTTGAATTAATAATGTTGGCAAATTACAGGTTACTATATATTTTAAATTATATCTATACTATATCTATATTCTATATATTCTATATTATATCTATATTATATATTCTATATGTTCTATATTATATCTATATTATATATTCTATATATTCTATATTATATTATATTCTATACTATATTCTATTCTATATTATATTCTATACTATATTATATATTCTATATTATATTATATTCTATACTATACTATACTATATATTCTATATTATATTATATTCTATACTATACTATATATTCTATATTATATTATATTCTATACTATACTATATATTCTATATTATATTATATTCAATACTATACTATATACTATATATTATATTATGTTCTATATACTGTACATATTTTAAACTTCCCTTCTGCAATTTTATAATTTGATAATTTCTAATTTAAACGTTCTCACTAACAAGAAGTAAGACACTACAGAAAAAAAAGCTTAAAGGAAAAGTAACATTACAACTGTCCCTCATTGACACATTTATTAAGCGTAAAGTCAGCTTTATGCAAAATATTTCTCAAAACAACTCTTGAACAGTTCTAATTGTCAGTGAACGTTCAGCTATTCGTCGTTAAGAGAAACGAAATGGTCGTCGATCTACGAACCAGAAGAAACGAATTATCCGGCCCCAGGACAGAACACTTTGATTTCTCCCCCTTTTCGAAAGACTGTAATTTCTTCGCGAGACCTCCGTAGCCGGGACAACCTTCTTAATGCCGGTGTCAAGCCTAATGATAGCCTAGCGAAAATCGCTAATAAGCAGTATCTGCGAAATTTTCGTTGGTTTACTGTTTCCTGGCAAACCGATCATTTCCTCAGTGACGCACGAGCAGATAAACCTGGATGCACCCGTGCATCAGCTTTCACATTCCGTCGATGCATTCGATACTAATATTAGGGCAATCGTAAATGATACATAGCGTTGAAGATTCTTCGAGCTCCATGTCATCTTGCTGAGCTATACTCGGCACAATTATATTATATTATATTTACATTGTAAATATTTCATTTTAGTCATTTTACTTTCAACACAATACCTACAGAAAATATTTGTTATCTAATGAACCACTTCTTTTTTTTTTTTTTTATTGCTAGATTCTACAGTTTTGTTTCAAATGAATTTCATGTGATTGTAAAACTTTGCGTTTATCACTACTATTTTTTTTAGTTGAGTGCTAAAATGAAGTAGGTACTGCTCATTCTCAATAATTGGCCATGAAACTGAAGCCTTCGACGTTTGAAAAACTCATATTAACTCAAATTATAAAAACTTAAACTTAACATAACTAAATAAGAGCACAGTTAAATGATTAATATACTTGGATCTACTGAATTAGTATGTAAATACTAAGATGTAATTAATAATAAATGTAAATGTTTTCTGTAACGTATCGTATATAAAATTGATTATTTTGTATTAGTAGAATATGATATATATTTAAATCTAATAAGATAACTGTATGTCGAAAAATACACATGCACGTGTATTTTTAATGTAATATGTTCATTCCTTTATGTTTCTGAACTTTATTATTCGTTTATTTCTGTATTGTGCATAATTTTGTAGTTGTAATTACCTCTTACTATCTCTTTTCATCTCTTTTCAAATTCAATAATTATATAATTCCAATATAAAATGTACAACTTCAGCAAAGGAACACCGAAAAGAGTAATTTAATGTTTCGTCAGATACATGCAATTCATCTCCACGCAATATCCTAAACTACTCGAAGCAGGGAAATTATTATCGATTGCAAATTCTATGCAGTTGACAATATTTAAGAAACGGCAGTGCAAATGACAAACGAGAAGAAAGAGAGTACCAGCATGAGTACTTCCAGTTGGGCACAAAAGGATTAAGCGTTTTTCGATCAGGCTCGATTCGTTTACCGCGGTCTCCATCGAGGTATCGAGACGTCCGGGAATTAGAAGAGGATCGTTGGAACGCGCGGACCACGAAATGTGCAACGCGGTGGCACGTGTCGTCACGTGTCGTTGAGTACGGTCAAAGCCCGATTTACTCCCCGGCCTGTCCACGTGTCCAAATGAGCAACACTTTGAATAATACTCACGTTGCGCGCTTCACGGCTTCGTCGCTCCCGTCGGCGGTCCCCACGGATTCGCCGCGGTGTCTCTATATTCTGTAATGCATAGATCAAGCACCGGCAAATGGCATTCCTCGATCGTGTATTACCGTAACACCTCACCGGTCCCTGTCGAATATTAGATACGCGGTTGAATAGCGTGGCGCCCGATCGCCGGCTATGTTGCCATCGGCCTAATCTAATAACCTCACGTCCCGTTCGAAAATACTCGTAATTACTCGACTGCGGATTTTCACGCGTTCGTGGGGAATTTCGTGGGAGGGAGAATGCAGGTGTATACACAAACGCGTGTAAAATATCGAAATATACGAAAATATCATGATTATACATACTACGATGTCTGACCTGGTTATTGGTTAGAATGTGTTTTGCGTAGTCTAATTTATAATTAATTTATAAATACAACAAATTTTAGACAATTTATTAGATTTAAATCTGATTTATAAATTAATTTTATTAGATTTAAATCTAATTTATATATTAATTATATAAGATTTAAATTTAATTTATAAATTAATTTTATTAGAATTTTATTTAAATCTAATTTATAAATTAATTTTATTAGATTTAAATCTAATTTACATATTAATTATATAAGATTTAAATTTAATTTGTAAATTAATTTTATTAGATTTAAACTTAACTTATATATTAATTGTATTTAAATCTAATTTATAAATTAATTTTATTAGATTTAAACTTAACTTATATATTAATTTTATTTAAATCTAATTTATAAATTAATCTTATTTAAATCTAATTTATATATTAATTAAATAAGATTTAAATTTAATTTATGAATTAATTTTATTAGATTTAAATATAATTTAAATATTAATTATATAAAATTTAAATTTAATTTATAAATTAATTTTATTAGATTTAGACTTAACTTATATATTAATTTTATTAGAATTTTATTTAAATCTAATTTATAAATCAATTTTATTAGATTTAAACTTAACTTATATATTAATTTTATTTAAATCTAATTTATAAATTAATTTTATTAGATTTAAATCTAATTTATATATTAATTATATAAGATTTAAATTTAATTTATAAATTAATTTTATTAGATATAAATTTAAATTATATATTAATTTTATTAGATTTAAATCTAATTTATATATTAATCATATAAGATTTAAATTTAATTTATAAATCAATTTTATTAGATTTAAATCTAATTCATATATTAATTACATAAGATTTAAATTTAATTTATAAATTAATTTTATTAGATATAAATTTAACTTATATATTAATTTTATTAGATTTAAATCTAATTTATATATTAATCATATAAGATTTAAATTTAATTTATAAATCAATTTTATTAGATTTAAATCTAATTCATATATTAATTACATAAGATTTAAATTTAATTTATAAATTAATTTTATTAGATATAAATTTAACTTATATATTAATTTTATTAGATTTAAATCTAATTTATATATTAATCATATAAGATTTAAATTTAATTTATAAATCAATTTTATTAGATTTAAATCTAATTCATATATTAATTACATAAGATTTAAATTTAATTTATAAATCAATTTTACTCGATTTAAATTTTACTTATATATTAAATTTATTAGAATTTTATTTAAATCTAATTTATAAATTAATTTTATTAGATTCATCTGACTGCGAAACACTTTTTCGTTACGATTAATAACAACGATGGTAAATCAAAATGTCAAAATCAGATGTCACGGTGTCACTCTGTGCAAAAAGATTTACACATATCAAGTAAAAAGGTTTGTTTAGCCAACAATACTACTCGAGCGTAGATATCTCTTCGAAGGAGTCCACGAAACATTGTTAAATTAAGGAGAAATCTTCGCTAATCGCCACGGACCAATTAGATATTCAGTGAATGGTTTTTACCGCGAATTCTTCGCAGACGATCGCATTGGTTGACGTTAATGGGAATGGTTACGAGGTGAACTCGATCCACAGGCGAATCGGTGCGGAATAGGAAACGATCGAGTTTACGATGGAACGCGGAAGACCGGCAACCGTTGACGCTCCAGAGGTCTGCAACTCGATTCTTCCTTGTTATACGGCCGAATCGATTCGCGCTTTCGTCGTAGAAATCGCATCTACCAATACCAGTCGCTTACCGAAACTGTATTCTTATGTTTTTAAGTAGAGAAACTTGCTCAGTATACTGCGTGGAATTTCGACTTAGATAGTTGATACGAGTTGTCAATATTAATAATGCAATTGAGGATATTTTGAATGATTGAATTATAGATTAAATTAATATTAGTTGATTGTCATTTGACTCAAGGAAAGATAGTTTTATATTTCTTTGCAAATCCTTTACGAAAATTTAACGAATGATATTAACACATGTCCTCTGTTTGTCTTTGACGAATGATCAGAAATTTGTTTCGGTTCATTAACGTTATAGTAGTTTCTAAGATGGAAGCTATTTTGAAAAACGTGGTTTCGAGGAAAACGCGCTCGAAGTTTTCCAAGTTTGCACTTTTGCAAGAATTCTTCAAATTTTAGAATTGTTCATTCGTATAAATTCGGAATAATAAACTGAAATTAAAATGAATTGAATCGTGTTGAAATTGTTTTGTTTAAATATGTGAACAATTGCAATTATTGATGTTTCATTTGAAGAAAATGACATTGTTACATTCCAACTTAATGTTATTATATAAGTATAATAATAATAGTATATAACATGATATAATATTCTTTATTTCTCTACAATATATATGTATGTATATCTGTTAAATAAGGAAGACAAAAGTATAAGCTACAAAAGCAGAGAAATGTGCAAAACTCATATATAAAAATCACATTGGGAATAAATGAGAAAAGGAATCAATCGTGAGATTCGTGAGAGACATGAAAGCATGTGTTGTTAATACAAAATTATTAATATTGTCATTGGTCATTTTCATTAGGCGCCGTTCATATGAAGTGTATTGTATATTGTAAGATAATAGTAACTCTGATTGATAAAGTAACTCTGACGAATAACTCTGACAATCTGAACTGAACGATACAGGTATTACTATGAAATAATAACTAAATATATATGCAGCAACCTAATATTATTATATAATAATATATTATATTTTAGAAATAAACTAACGAATAACTCCTATAACTGATGACAATATACGTACTAACCTAATATTATTATGTAATACAAAACTACAAAATAATATTATAATATGTGTATAATGTAATATAATATTTTTTACTTTTATATATATTTATAATATATATAATAATTATAAATATAAATAAATATAATATAATATAAAATTATATTAATAAATATAAATAAATATAAATAATAATATATAAATATAAATAAATATAAATAAATATAAATAATAATATATAAATATAATTAAATATTAAATATATAATAATATATTTATACATTGTATAATCATATTATACGGTAAAAATAAATTTAAAAAATAAACCAACTCTAATATAATTCAAAATAAACGATATGAAATAACTGGTGATAACAACATGATCGTATTTGGTATTCTTGCCGCCGAAGAGAATGGATGAGCATATAGCTGGGAACAGAATGTTCGCGCAGGAGTGGAGAGCGAGAGAGATCGAGAGGAGAGAGGTGAACGAAAGAATGTACAGTTGTTAAGTAGCAATGTCACCATTCGAGTGTTAACTGCCGGATAGTTTACGAGGTGATTCGAAACTCTTATCCGTTAAGTGCGAACGGAATGATGACACGAGCACGAAGAAGAGGATGCTCGCGATGGAAAATAGCCTCGACATGCCGGAAGAGGTTGCGGCTGGGCATCGAGACAAGACGTTAATTTTAAAAACGCAGTAAAATCGCCGCCCCTAAATCCCTCGCAGACAGAAAACGAGAAATTGCCGATTTGAAGAGCAATGAAACTATACAGCCACAGTTGTTACTGAAACGGTAGGTGCGAACGTTGACAACCGAGCTCGAATCCGGTCTCGATCATTCGCTTGTTTTATAACTTGATTTAGTAGCGGCAGAACTGTACTGGATGAAATAATGACGCGTGAAAGGGCTGTAGCACGGTGTGACTTATCCATCAGAATTTTCGACGAAACGTAAATTAATAAATATCCACAACTAAAATTTTATATTCGGGATCCTCCAGCTCCAGCTCTTCAAAACTCCGCATCATTTTGATAGATGAGTCATAGGTGCATAATTCGTAATAGATATTAAAAGACGTAGGACGAAGGACGACATAAATTAAAGGATTTTTAATGATTTAGATGTGAATGAAGAAAAAAAAAAAATAATTGAAATAAACGTTCAATAAACGCACTTTGATTATTTCTGTCCTCCTTTTATTAAAAATTTTCCAATACCTTTCACATATATTATATTATTTGATACAGAAGAGATTTGGACAAGTTTCTGATTTTAAATTTTTGCATTTTTTTTTTTTTTTTTTTGAATTAATTACCTAATAAAAAATATATTAGAATGCCTTTCCTTTCTAAAAACAAAACTTTGAGAAATATTGCACAAACTGTGTTAAAAGATATTCTGTAGACTTGATCACGACCTCTCTATTAATTGATTATACATATTTACTAATAATATTATAATACTAATAATAATAATACTAATTAATTATACATATAATTATTATACTTAATTATAACATATCTACTACTGCTAATAATAATAATAATAATAAATTATACGTATAATTTATTAGTATAATAATTTATTATTATTATATTAGTTTAATTTATTATTTATAATAATAATAAACTATTATACTAGTAAATTATACATATAATAATAAACTACTATACTAATTAATTATACATATAATTCAATAATTAATTAGTATATTAGTATATTATTTGTATAATAAACATTAGATAATACTATCTAAAAAAATTCGATATTGATGACTCTGATTGAAGAAAAAGAGAAAAGAAATTAAAAAATAAGAATACGCGCCAACACTGCACGAGAATACTGGCGAGTCATTGAAAAAATGAAGAAACTTTAGGTTTTCAGTAAATTTAATTAAATTTAATTTAAATTGAATTTAAAATTTAAAAATCTGATTAAAAATTTCATTTTTATTATTTATTAAACATTTTAAAAATAAAAATTTAAATTAAATTAAATTAAATTTAATTAAACTACCAGAATTTAGTAATTTAATTGTTTCGAGTGTCGGAATAGTCGGCGGAAACATTTCTCAAAAAACGACCTCGTTGACGCGCAAGGGGTACTAACCGTTCAAGGGCGGACGTTCGAGAAAAATGAGACGCGTAGCGGGCGTCCGCATTTCTTCAGCCCCGTTTCCCCCGGTTTATCGGAAATTTCCATACTGTCACGTAAACGCGTTAAAACTCGTGACTAATCGTCCCGTCTGTCGGCAGACGAAAACAGGAGCGAAGATAATGGCACCGCGACCGAATAACTTCCGTCCAGCCGATCGCGCAGCCGCAAACGTTTTGCATACGTTTCGTTATCTAACGTCGCGGTGGAAATCAATCATCCAAGCCTCGGACAGACCGATATAACCGGACAAGAGAGAGCCGTTTTGTCACGGTTACGATTTGAAAAAAAAGAAAAAAAGAGAACAGGAAAAAAAAAAATGAGCTACCGGCGGAACGATCCTCCCACCGTCGGCGATAAACGAATTTAACAACGACAACGCGCTCGCCATTAACGAAAATAACTAACCGTCTCGTGTCAACGATCAACGTCAGTCAGATCGAAACGTGGTCTCGTCAGACCGGAACTCGAGCACAAGGCAAACGAGATGTATTGCGATCGCTTTCCTCTTTGGAAAAAGGGCGACCCCGGTCTACCATTGATCAGTCTCGATTTACGAGTCTAGTGGAACTCGGATTTTCTATTGTCAGAGAAAGTCGTCAACTTCGTTGCACGCGCGTTTCCGTGAAGTTGAGTCGGAGGAGCGGAGGTTTTAATTCCGTTTGAACGAGGTGGAACGTCCTTGACGTTTATTTATGTTAATCGTTTCGGCGATAAAGGGTTGGAGGTTACTCGAAGAATTTAACGACCTCAGCGAGAGCTTTCAGCACGACAGTTATTGCCAGTTTATCCTCGCGAAATAATGGAGATGTTTCTCGGTTTTTTTTTTTTTTTTTTT